ACCAAAATGCCCCTCAGGCCAACGTGGTCAAAACCCGAGGTTCGAACCAAAATCCGGTTACCCATTCCCCCACGAACCCAAATATATGATTTATTTTGAAATCGGACCTCAAATTGAGGTCCAGATCCCCAATTTTAGAAAAACCTAGGTTCTACCCCAAACCCCCAATTTCACCCATGAAATTCATTGATTTTAAGTGGAAAACATGTTAAATGATGTAAATGATTGAAGGAATTAAGTAAAAATCGATTTACAATGATTTGGAAGAGTTTTGCCTTGAAGATCGCTATGGGGTTTGGGCTTGAAAGAATGGTGAAAAATGGTGGAAATTCGACTAAGTATGAAATTGCTGGGTCTCAGATATCGCGTTCGCATTTGCGAACCCTTATTATTTTGCCAGATTGCGCATTTGCGAACATAAAGATCGCATTTGCGACAGCCTAATTTCGCATTTGCGAGCACAAGGATCGCATTTGCGATCAGTGCCCAGAAATCCCTCGTTCGCACTTGCGAGAAATTAGATCGCATTTGCGATCATATGCCCAGGCCCAAGGCTTCACAATTGCGGTGCATAGCTCGCATTTGCGTGCTCGCAAATGCGAGGCTCATCTTCGCAAATGCGAAGATCACAGAAGACATCATACCAGATTTTTTTCAAGTTCAAAAATACAATCCGACACCTATCTAAAACTCACCCGAGCCCTCGGGGCTCCAAACCAAATATGCACACAACCTCAAAAACATCATACAGACTTATCCGTGCGATCAAATCGCCAAAATAACATCATATACATCGAATCAAGCCTCAAAACTCATGATTTCTTCCAAATTATCATAAAACATCAAATTCCCATTTTAAGTCCGAAACACGTCAAACGACGTCCGTTTTCAACCAAACTTTACAGAAAGTGCTTAAATCATATATAAGACTTGTACCAGGCGCTGAAACCAAAATATGGGCCTGATACCATAGTCTTCTAATCACATTTCATTTCCAATTTCCTTAGTTATTTCCAGAAAACAATTTCACACAAAAATTCATTTCTCGGACTTGGGACCTCGGAATTCGATTCCGGGCATACGCCCAAGTCCCATATTTTCCTACGGACCCTCCGGGACCGTCAAATCACGGGTCCGGGTCTGTTTACCCAAAATGTTGACCGAAGTCAAATTTATTCAATTTAATATCAAAAATTAGCATTTTACTCACAGAATTCATATTTAAGCTTTTCGGCTACGCACCCGACTGCGCACGTAAATCGAGGCAACCCTAGATGAGGTTTTCAAGGCCTCGGAAGTACAGGATGGTAAGAAAACAAGTGATGACCCCTTTGGGTCATCACATCCTCCACCACTAAAACAACCGTTCGTCCTCGAACGGACAAAAGAAAGAAGTACCTGAGTCGGGAAAAAGGTGAGAATAACGGCTCCGCATATCAGACTCGGACTCCCAGGTCGATGCCTCAGGAGGCTGACCTCTCCATTGGACACGAATAGAAGGAAAACTCTTGGATCTCAACTGACGAACCTGCCGGTCTAGAATAGCTACCGGCTCCTCCTCATAGGACAAGTCCTTGTCCAACTGGACAGTGCTGAAATCTAACACGTGGGCTGGATCGCCGTGATACCTCCGAAGCATGGATACATGAAAAATTGGATGCACGGCTGATAAGCTAGGCGACAATGCGAGTCTATAGTCCACCTCTCCCACTCGATCAAGAATCTCAAACAGACCAATGTACCTAGGTCTAAGCTTGTCCTTTTTCCCAAATCTCATCACGCCCTTCATAGGCGATACTCGGAGCAATACCCGCTCACTAACCATAAATGCTACATCTCGAACCTTGCGATCTGCATAACTCTTCTGTCTAGAGTGAGCTGAACGAAGCCTATCCTGAATGATCTTGACCTTGTCCAAGGCCTCCTGAACCAAATCCGTACCTAACAACCGAGCTTCTCCCGGCTCAAACCATCCAACCGGAGATCGACACCGCCTACCATATAAAGCCTCATAAGGAGCCATCTGGATGCTCGACTAGTAGTTGTTGTTGTAGGAAAACTCCGCTAAAGGCAAGAACTGATCCCAAGACCCTCCAAACTCAATCACACACGCACGGAGCATATCCTCAAGAATCTGAATAGTGCGCTCGGACTGTCCGTCCGTCTGGGGGTGAAATGCTGTGCTCAACTCCA